AGGGCTCAGAGCAGCCCCAGGTGTGAGCAGTGAGGTTGATGAGGGGACAGATCAGCCCCAGGTGTGAACAGTGAGGATGAGGAGCGGGTGGGTCCTGCCCGGGGCTGTTTTAGGGGGAGTGTTTCCCTCAGTTCATTTGGGCACGGAGCAGTTGGAGAAGAGGGATTTATGGTGGGCTTCCCCGGGGGTATCTCATGCAACGATAGCGGGAGCATCTTGTAGGGTCTGGGAGAACAGCTGGATGCACTTGGATATGGAGCATTGCTTAAAGGAGGTGCCGAGGGACAAACCTTTGTGTCTGGAAGCAGCATCTGAGCAGGTGAGCCAGTCTGGTTTTGCAGGGGGGACTTTTCTCCTTTTCCTTTTTGATTTTCTCTTGCCAGGGAGCGACAGAGCCGTGTGGAGGAGAGGCGGGCTCTGCCGGGCCGGCAGGCGGGAGCCGCGGCGCGGAGCTGTGTCCGTCCCGGCCTCTTTGTTCGCCCCGGGCACGGGGCTCGGGCACCGCCGGGGCCCCTTCGGGCCGGTCCCGGTGCCCGTGGGCGGGCCGGGTTCTCCCGGTGCCGGAGCTGCCCCCGCCCGCCGGAGGAGCCGCTTTCCTGCCGGGAGCCGCGCTCCGTCCGGGGCCGGGAGCGCGGGGCCGCCCCCGGGTGCCGAGTGCCGCCGCTGCCGGGGCTCGCGTGGCTCCCCCGGGTCCCCCCGCACCTGGAGCGGCGCCAGCCCGGGAGCGAGTCCCGGCGAGGGCCGCTGGGGTACACTGGTGGCTCGTCAGCTTCAGAGTGCTCTGGCAAAAGCCGCTGGGAGGAGGGGAGGGGGAAAAGCCCGACCTTCCGGCCTTTTTGTCTCGGGGCTTTGTCGGTGTTGCTCTTTAGCCGAGCCGCGCCTTTAAATAACGATGTGGCGCCTTCTAGAAACTGTGTCCAATACCTTTTGCACCCTCACATGAGGGCTTCGAGCTCAGGTTTTTCCATTGCCGAGTTGACTGCAGGTCCGAGCTGACAGCGTCCCGTGCATCTGGGGTGCATGAATCTGTTTGTGATGTTCATTTCCCCTGGATGCAGAGTTGGGCTTTTTGGGCAGACCGTATTTCTCAAGCCTCGGGGTTTGTTTAAGCCTTGCACACGATTTTCTGGAGACGCGGGCCGAGTGAGAACTTTGTCTTGGTGCTGTACTAGGGAATGGAATGCAGGGGGTCCCCGCAATATCCCCGTGGAAGCTGGAATGTCCGAGGAAATGGATGTGACAATTCTCGGGGCTGAACCTGGCTCCCAGCGCTCGATGCGAGAGAGCAGGGCCGAGGGACAGCGGGGTAGGAAGGGCGAGGTGCTTCGTGCTCTGGGTTTGGTGTTGCTGATGTTTCCAGAGCCAGAGCAGGTTGATTTGGTTCTGGTGCACTGGAATAGGATCCAAACCTCGGAAAGATTTGAGACCAACTGGGAGGAAATGTTTTCAAATGAATGTGTTTCTTAATAGAGGGCAGGTTTCAGTCCGTTTTTTAATTGATTTTAAAGGAAATTTTTTTTTTTGAGGAAAAGTGAACAAAATGTTTATTTTAATAAGTAGGGCGTAGGTAAGAGGAAAAAAAGGATGAATAACGTTAGATCATTTTTTTGTTGTTCTTGTGGAGAAAAGCTCAGGAGCTTTAGAAGGGTTTTTCTGCACGTGTGGTTTGGACGTTTTTGGAGTTGGGCTGTGGCGTGGATCTTTTTGAGCCGTGGGGTGTTTTGGTGGTAGCTTGGGTTTTTGGATTGGAATAAAGTTGAATAGTTTTAGAAGAAGTTGTTATGGTTCTGGCAATTATTTTGTATTCACTAATCAATGAGAAATTAGTTTGAAAAAGTAAAAAATGGATTTTTTGTTGTGTTAAACAATAGAGTTGAGAGAGAATTTGGGTGAGGCTGTATTAGTATTGTATATAGATTGTATGTTCAAAGAATTTTTTCTTTTTTAGTTTTGAAGTTACAGAATTTATGTTTGGGCATAAAGCGGATGATGAGGATATAATATAATGTAATTTTAGAACATTTTATTTTTTGTTGTATATCTTTGGAGGTCAAATTAATGTTTTTTAAATTTAGATATGCT